AACCCTCATGTTAACTGTGCCAGACTTGCAGGAGTAGAAAAGGCAGTCGGACATCCTGCAGCAGCCGCCCTTCTTCCTCAGGCCCTGCTAAGGGGCAGAAGGTGTGCCTGTTCAGCACCTGTGTAGATATTCTTGCCTGGTACCCCAACAGCTGAAAGATGTCAACAGAAGTCTTACATGGTTTTGTTTCCTCCTCACTAGCTTATAGCTTCCTTGGAAGATGAGCCAGTTCCTTGTTCTCTGGCAAAAGGAAACAGGAGCTGGCATAAACTTTGATGATTCACTGGAGTCAGGCAAGATGTTGGCACCTTCCTGCTGCCTTTCAGGTCCTCTAGAAGTACTAACTAAAAGGCAATAGGATTTTCTTCAAAAGTCAGTAAGAGGTCCAGTTTAATGTCTCCCTAATCTATAATGTACTTGCCTTTACCTTGGGCCAGACTGTAACTTTGGTAGTACTGGAGTTTGAACTCAGGGCCTCATGCTTGCTAGGCAGGTGCTCTACCACTTGAGCCACTCTGCTAGCCTGAGATGGTTTTAGTTCCATTGGATATATTCCTAGAAGTGAGATTGCTGCATCATAAGGTAAATTTTTGGTGGTACTGGGTATTGAACTCAGGACCTTGTGCTTGCTTGCTAGGCAGGTACTCTTACCACTTGAGCCACAACCCCAGCCCGGTTTTAATTTTTTGAGGAATTTCTCTACTGTCTTATATTCCCACCAGTGGTATGTAATGGTTCTCTTCACACCTATGCAAGAACTTTAACTTTTTTGGTAGTACTGGGGTTTGAACTCAAAGCCTTACACTTATTAGACAGGTATTCTACACTTGAGCCAGTCCACCAGCCCTCTTTTGTGTTGGGTATTTTCAAGCTAGGCTCTCTGGAACTATTTGCTCTGGCTGGCTTTGAACCATGATCCTCCTGATCTGCCTCCTGATGAGTAGCTATGATTACATGCCACTGGTACCTGGCTTTTTAAACTTTTTGACAGTAGCCATCCTCACAAGTGGGAAGTGATGTCCCTCCTGTCTTTTTAAAGTATAGGACATGAGCTCGTCGTACTCAGCCCTGCTCGCATGGGATGTTACCTCTCACTGATGTCCTTCTGACCTTTGTGTCTAAAACTGCAGCATTGCCCTGAGCAACTGGTGGTTCGTGGCTCACCTGACAGATCTGCTGGATCACTGCAGGCTCCTCCAGTCACACAACCTCTAGTAAGTGGCCAGATGCACTGACCCTTTTCTCACCCCCCCACCAGGTGGAGTGAGCCAAATGCCTGGAAGGGAGGTTAGGATGTGGAAGGGAGCCCTAAAATGGAGCAGGCCTGAAGTATTAAATTGTGTTATATTTCCTCTAGTTTTGGTTCCAACATGAGAGAATTCCTCCTGCTGGAATATGCCTCAGGACTATTTGCTCATCACAGGTATGGGTCGCACTGGGGTGTTCTTCAGCATATAGTGCTAGTGGAGCCTGGACTATGTCTCTTCTCTGGTTTCCTGATAGCTACAGAGAGACTGGGGAGGAGCCGCCTCAGGTGGCAATTCCCAGAGCCAAGGGGTAGTCCCTGGACTCACCAGGCCCTCATATCTGCCTTCCTTGGACTTCTGCAGCCTATGGCAGCTGGGGGTGGATTACTTTGACTACTGCCCTGAGCTGGGGCGAGTTTCTTTGGAGCTGCACATTGAGCGGATCCCTCTCAACACGGAGCAGAAAGCCCTCAAAGTGCTGCGGATTTGTGAACAGCGGCAGATGACTGAACAAGGTACTCATTGTAGAATGTCAGGCATCTTTTGTATCAGCACTGTCTAGCCTCTTCCTTGCCAGTCATATTCAAGAGAAGCAGGATCATAGGTGCCAAGACACAGGTTCTTTATTAGGGAGGGACATAAGAGCTACAGGTCCCTTGGAACCTAGAAGAAACTGAGCATTTTGCCTTTTAGAAAATACCCTTACTCATTTCTCATATTTACTCCATAAATTCAGTGTTTCATATCTAGGTGTAATGCTGCTGCCAGCAAGGCTTGGCCCAGGGTGAAAGCAGATTAGAAGCACATGACCGCAGGAACACAGGAATAGGGATGAGTGGGAACAGCTCTGCCCACCCGCATCCCCCCCCCCCACTACTACTCTTGCCAGAGGCATTTGCATATTTCTGACCAAAGAAACCAAACCCAAAAGAAACATAGGCTTTTAGGCTTCTGCACAGGTCTGTCGTTGCCAGCTTCTAAAGGCATATGCACTAATAAAGCCGACCCTGTGGGGCAGTTCATACACTGTACCGCTAGCTAGCTGAGTGAAGACACCATTAATAAACCCAGAATCTTTGGTCCTGCCAACTTGCCTGTATTTTGAGCCCATGGTGAGGCTTTAGGTTGTTGTGAAGCTATAGGAAGGTCACACCTGTCCCTCCAGGCCTCCACAATGGAGTGATTGTGGGGTGAAAGCCTTTTGCCTTTTGTCTTTTCCCCTGCAAGTTCGCAGCATCTGTAAGATCTTAGCCATGAAGGCTGTCCGCAACAACCGCCTGGGCTCTGCCCTCTCTTGGAGTATCCGTGCCAAAGATGCCGCCTTTGCCACACTTGTGTCAGACAGGTAGGTGCATCTTGTGCTGGCTTTTGGACAAGACCGGGTGCATTGGGGTGGTATGGCCGTTGACTGCTGCTCTGATCTCCTCTGGGCTGGGCCCTGCAGGTTCCTCAAGGATTACTGTGAGCGAGGCTGCTTTTCTGACTTGGATCTCATTGACAACCTGGGGCCAGCCATGATGCTGAGTGATAGACTAACATTCCTGGGTGAGTCTCTGTATTTTTTCCCCTGGGCATGAGTGGACATTTGTGGAGATTGGAGGGATGGATGTAGATTTTTCCATGTGTTTCCTTCCTGGCCAAACTTCAAGCCACATAGACCCGTGTGTGCAAGACTGCAGTTTTTGGTAATATTTTACTTTCCAGTAGTTCCAAACATAAGTCACAAAAATAGCATAAGGAATATAGACCTCCCATATGTACTCCCCATAGTCACCAGTTACTTATGTTTTGTCTCATCTGTTTTACCATTCTCTCAATCAATTTGGGAACAATTTGAATGTAAGTTGGAGATTATTGTCCCTTGTTCTCCATAGGTGCATTTCAGTTTGTATTTCAGTGTGTAAGACTAAGTTATCAAAATTAGGAGATCCATCACTGATACTGAATACATTATTTTCTTTTTGGGGGTAGGGGTACTGGGGTTTGAACTCAGGGCTTTGCTCTTGCAAGGGTGCTCTACTGCTTGAGCCATACCTCCAGTTCATTTTTCTCTGGTTATTTTGGAGATTGGGTTGGGGGGGGAGTGTCTCAAGAATTATTTACCTAGGCTGGCCTCAAACCGGGATCCTCACCACCTCTGCCTCCCATAACCTTATTTTTTGAAGGCTCAGACCAGCTTCCTTCTAGAATGCCCTCAGTGCAGATTTATCTGAAATTTCCTTGGATTGAATCTAGATGCCTTGTTTGAGGCAGGAATGTGACCACTAAGACACTTTTCTTTTTCTTTTTTTTTTTTTTTTTGCTGAGCGTACTCCACACTAGCTAGGCAAGTGCTCCACCACTTGAGCCACTCTGCCAGCCCTACTAAGACACTTTTGGATGGTGATCATAGCTTTGATCGTTTGGCTAACATAGAGTCCACCAGGTGGCTCCCCTGTAAAGCACTGTTTTTCCCTTTAATAACTGTGGAGAACCCAGGTGTTGGTGGCTCACACCTGTAATCCTAGCTACTCAGACAGAGATCAGGAGGATCACAGTTCAAGGCCAGCCCAGGCAAATAGTTCGTGAGACCCTATCTCAAAAAAAAAACTATCTCAAAAAAGGGCTGGTGGAGAGGCTTAAGGTGTAGGCCCTAAGTTCAAACTGCAGTACCACAGTAATAAATAAAAATAATAATCATGGTGAGATACTTTGGGATGATTTACCTACTCTATTACTTATCAGACTTCTGCCCACTAGTAATTGTAACTTCTGGAGATCCCAGGTCTGTCACTCCTTGTATTTTAGCTGGTGTTTCACTGTAAGGAAGGAAAGTGTTTCCTTCTTTCCTGTTTGATCTATATTACTGTGGAGTATTTTAGTTAATCTGTTGTAGTCCATGGTTCTCATTGCTTATTTTGATGTTGACATTTTCCAAGATTTGGCTCTAGATGGCTCCTTCCAAGCCTGTGTGTTGAACACTCTAGGTCTGCATTTCATTGGTTCATGAGCTTGGAAACAACTCTAGAAACATCCTCCTGCTCTGTGGAGTGGCTGGTCTAGGGTCCTTCTTGTTTAGGCTCAGGGTGACCTTTGTAGGTATCATTGGGGGCCATCAAGGGGTGCGGGTGACCTCATGCTCCCTCCTTTCCTAGGAAAGTACCGTGAATTCCACCGGCTGTATGGGGAGAAGCGGTTCAGCGATGCTGCTTCTCTGCTGCTGTCCCTCATGACTTCTCAGATTGCACCTCACTCTTTCTGGATGACTCTACTCACAGACGCCCTGCCCCTTTTGGAACAGAAACAGGTTAAGGCTTGGCCAAATCCACTGTATTTTTCTTCTTTACTTTTTTCTTCTTTACTGCCCTCCCACTTGCTAGGCAGGCACTCTTCACTTGAGACACTTCACCAGCCCTTTTGGTCTTGTATTTTTCAGAGAGGGTCTTGTTAACTATTTTGCTTCAGCTGGCCTTGAACCGCAATCCTCCCAGTCTCTGCCTCTTGAGTAGCTAGGATTACAGGATTACAGGTGTGAGCCACCAGTGCCCAGCTCTTCTCTACCTTTTGTATTTCCCAGCAGTTTAGTTCTGTAGCTGTTGCAGATGTGCATATATGTTTCCTCCCAAGTAGTTCTGTGTGAGCAGGACTATTCCTCTAGAGCACTCCCATAGCAAATCCAGTGTTCACACCAGGAAAGCACTGAAATGATGCAACTGTCCATCAACAATGCTCAGCCCAGGGCTGGAGTGAAGGGTTGGATCCATCCTCCCAAGGTTCCATATACAACCCAAGGGCATGAAAGAAGGCCTTCTCTGAACTTATGCCCACAACCTGACCAGTGCAGGTCTTGGCTAGGGATCAACCAAGTGAAGCAGCCTTTCTCCCCTAGGTGATTTTTTCAGCAGACCAGACATATGAGCTGATGCGATGTCTGGAGAACCTGACCTCAAGGAAGCCAGATTGTGGAGAACCTGATACTCAGCGACTCCAGGTCATTTTAGCTTTCCCCTAGATGCTTCCACAGTGAAGATGGGAAAAGGCTCCCTCTGCTGTGGGCTTTCCCTCCGCTCCCTGCCCACATGAAACACTGGCCCTTTACAAACTCACTTGCCTCTTAGTTCTATGTAACCTGGGGTGGTTCTAGTCAATCCATTGTAAAGTGGTCCTTTGCATACCGATCCTCACAGAGAATGTGAATGTTAAATGCTCTGCCTCTGGGAGCATTAGAGGAAGGATATGCCTGCTGTGCCTCATGCTTGTTCTCTTTTTAGGAGGATGACATAGAGACCACCAAGGTGGACATGCTGAGACTTGCTCTAGCACGGAATCTTGCCCGGGCAATTATAAGAGAAGGTTCATTGGAAGGTTCCTGAAGTCACTTGCAATGTGGTACCTTTGTATGGAATTGTATATAGATTTAAAAAAAAAGAATAAATGTTCTGTTTTGCAAATACAAAGCAAGTTCTTAAGAGTCTGTCAGGAAATTTTTATCCAAGTCTACTGTGAACCTGAGATGGCAAAAATGAAGAAAATTCTTGCTTTATGTTCTTTTTGAGATAGGTCTTACTACATTGGACTCAAATAATCCTCTTGCCTTCTGGGTAGCTGAGTTTATACTGCCTGCTACTATGCCTGGCTTATGTCCCCTTTGATACACAGAACCATCTTCCCTTGTCTCCTTAGTGGGGAAGCACCCCCTGAATTAGAAACAGGTAAATGCAGTATCTTGCCTGCAACTGGAAACTTCAGCAAGAGCACGTGGTGGTCTACTTCAGCTCCTTAGGTCTTGCCTCAGGTCACATCATTTACAACACCCCATCTTAACTTTTCCACAAGGATTCAGAAATCTCTACTTTTAACATATTCCAATGTAGCCTCTCCATCTACCTGTGCTTGGAATTCACACATGGTAACTTCCTGTAAGGGTGAACACTGTCCATACTAGGATTCCAAGTAGGGTAAAATGGTTTTATTTAACATGCAGCAAAACAAGGGCAAAGGATTTGATACATCCAGTACGGCTGTTTGCCATGAAGCAGTGACCTCAATAATAGGAATACTCCTCATAATTTTAATGTCTAAAGCTTATAAAGGTGTGTTTCCACACACTAATCCCACAGACATTCCAGGGCTGAAGTAGCTGGTGTCTGGAAAGTACTTGGATTTATTCCTTAAGTAGTGAAAATGATTTCACTTTGACCTGTCCTAATGAAGCAATGAAGCCTGCTTGCTAAAGATGGGAAGAGGGTGAAAGGACCTCTGGATATAAAGCAAGGAGCTGGCAAGGGGTAGGGGCCAGGGATTATGGTTTGTGCCACCTTCCTTTCTCCAGAGGCAACAGAGCTGAGCCATCAGCTGAGCTGTTTGACCTTCTGCAACTTCTGTGGCAGCTGGCAGTTTTTTCCTAGTGCCTTGAGGCTTAGCATCCATGGCCCGGTGCAGCTGGTTCACGCTAGCTGGGGCAGAGCACTGTTGAAGCAATAGGGTCTGGAGACTTGGTTCCAGCATGGCCCCTTATCTCAATACCTCCAGACCCAACATCTCGCTGACAGTGCCCCTCTGTACATAGCTAGTGGGGTTTCAGTGCAGGAGAAAGGATGTCCATCCACTAGTGCAATGTGCTTGACCTTGAGGCTTCCAGGGTCCAACCAAAGGTGCCACATCACACACCATGTAGTGAAAAGCGGAGGTGGCCAAAGCAGGAGGACACAGAGGGTGGCGAGAGTTGTCCTCCCTTTCAGAGACTAAGGGTAGCAGTTTATGTCATGCTCAGCAAGAGGTAGTGTGTAAGGTGGCCTGTCCCCATGACAGGAGATAAGCTTTTCCCACAAAGCTCCAGTGCCTGCTTCTGAAGGGAAAACACTGGCTCTCTTCCATTTTCCTTCCTGTGCCCAGTTTAGGCTCTGTCATGAGGCCAAGTTCTGGTTCTGCTAGGCTGAGTTCCATGTCCTGCTGAAATGTCCATAGGACACAGCCTGCCATTGCCAAGGGCAAGCACACTACTCCTTCAGTAGCCATTCCAGGATGTAGCTGCCCACAGAAGACAGGGAGGAGATTAGGCAGTACACCAACACCTCACTCTGGGCCACCTCACTAGAGGTGGCAGCACAGCCAGACAGCAGGGAAGCACAGGCAAGCAACAGAGGCTGTGCCCTCTCAAGCCATGTCTTTTTGGGGTGTAAGGTCCTGGTTCTTGAGGGGACCTAACAGCATCAGAGAATGCCACTAAAATGAGGGAAAACCCAGGGCAGCCAGTAAAGTCAGGGACCACTCCCCACCTGACAATAAGTACATGGCCACTTCAAGTCACACAGGTAAATAGAAACAGTTCCTTTTGGGGGTGAGGGAGCCAAGGAGGTGAGATTTTCCCAGTAGCAGCTTGGCTCCCAGCAGAAATACTTTGGGCCCCTAGTCCACATCAAAGCTAGAAGCACTGCCGTCAGGATGTAGAAAATGACTGAACTGGAGCCCTTTCCATCTCGGGGCGGACTGCCTGCCTTCAAGTGGAGATCACAGCATCCTCTGGGGTCACAGGCTCCCCCACTGCTCCACAGGAGGGAACTGGTCCACCTCGCCCAGCTCTGTGCTCAGCTGCTCCCCCAGGGCGAAGGTCAGCCTATACCGAAGCCGTACCTTCTCCTGTGACAGAGGACAGCAGATGACACTCAGCCTACTATCTTCTCAGCAGGTTGTCTTCTTCCCTGCTACCCTGTTGTGTGGCTGGCCCTCTGTGCTGGAGATATGGTCCCATTCCACCACATCCACCCACACCCAGCCACTGACCCTGATGGGGGGACGGAAAGTAAACCCGGGGTTCTCCCCTGCTCACCTTCATTGGGTTGGCCAGCAGCATGACCTGGGTAATGGCTGCAGGTGGCTGGGCAGGACTAAATGGGGACAGTGCTGTTCCAGAGGGTGGCTGCAACTTCACTTTCATTGACTAAGGTAAACAGAAGAGAAACTCCTTTGAAGAGAGCTGGCAGGTAGGTGTCCCTGCAACAGACAGGGACTGGGGTCTGGTTATGGTGGATACACACACTGCCATCTGCCAGCCACACAACACAGCGGGTTCAAGGTAAAGGCAGTATTGGCCTCTGGAGGCCCAAGGGAGCCTGGAGTACCTTGGGCACTGCAGCCTGCAACACAATACTCTTGACTGGCAAGGGAGCCGTATTCAGCATGGACACCACCACCACCAGCACATCCGGCCGCCCTGGTGGACACTCCTTGGCAAAGTGGAAAAGGATGCGGAAGCCATTTTTATCATAGGCTGTTACAGGAAGGGCACTGCCTGTAAGAAGGTGGCATATTAGAGCTGGAAATGTGGATAAAGTGGAAGAGCATCTGCCTAGCAAGCACAAGGTCTTAAGTTCAAACCCCAGTACTGCCAAAAAAGTGGCATAGGAATGTGGTAGGAGAATGTGCCAGAGACACCCTAGAGCCCCGGTAGTACCCACTGGAGCCAAGTGGGAGACAGAAGGGCTACAATGTGACCATAGGTACAGTGTTCCCTTATGTAGTCCAGGAAAGGCCTCTGTCAGGGGGGCACCTAAGGCCACACAGTAATCGGCGGAGGCTGACAGCAGGCAGGTGGACCCTTAGCTACAAGGGACCTCACCAGAGTGCCTGTGTCCACCTGTTGCACACCCTACAGTGCTGTGGCTATAAGGCCCACCTCCCACTTCCAACACCTACTAGGCTTGATGGATTCCAGGGGCACATGGACACTGGCCAGGGAGAGCTCGGGCCCCTTCACAGGGCTGCCTTGGGACTGGAAGGCTGGTGGCTGGAAGAGAGGGCTGCCAGGCCCAGCGGAGAAGGGCAGGAGAGGCCTGGCTGGGGCAGAAGTGGGGAGGCAGGGGGAGGCGGCAGCCCCAGGGGAAAAGCAAGAGGAGACAGGTTTCACCAAGCCTGAGGTCCTGGGAGGCAGGAAGGAGGACAGAAGGCAAGTCAGACAGTAGGCCAAGGCTGCTGGGCCAATCCCTAACCAAGGTTCCCCAAGCCAGAGACAGCTCTTAGCTGCCACCCCACAACCACATCTTCCAGCCTGTCTAATGGGAACAAAAGGAATCCCCATCCCAGAGGCTCTGGCTCAGCACACCAGGTTCCACCCTCAGCCACCCCATGTCTTCTCCCATTCTTTACACTTTGGCCTCTTCCAGAAGCTGATCAAGGGCATCCAGGTGGTGCAGAGTGGTATCACCCAGCCCTGAACCATGGTACTCGGGGGCTGCAGGTTCAGCCTTTGGGACCATAGCTGGGGCAAATCCAGAAGAGAACATGAAGGTGCTGGTGCTAGGGGCAGGGGCACTGGCTGGGCCTGTGGGAGCTGGGAAGGAAGGTAGTAGTGGAGCTTGGGAGGAACTTGAGGTGGGGGCTGAGGGGGAGCAGGCAGCAGGCCCCGGTGTGGGGAAGAAGAAATCCAGGTCTGACTGTTCACTCTGCAATGAAACAGCAGAAAAGCAAAAGGCTGAGACGTCTGCCAATAGCAGGGGCACAGCTTTGCCTCCCACTGGGCCCTTCCCCAGGGGTGTCCTGTCACCACCCAATGAACTGTTCAACTGCCTTTGAGAACATGGCTAGAGAATGGACCTTAAAGGCAGCATGTTCGCAGCTGCAGTGACAGAGCTCTGGAGGGTAAGGACAAACTGACATCAGCTAAGTGTAACCAAGTAGAGTTCAAGAAAAGAGGACAGTGAAGAATGAAGGTCCTAGATACTTCAGTGATGTCACAACTGTGACCCTACCTGGAAAAGGTGCCACTGGCTACTTCCAGCTGAGTCTTTTGGAGGAGCAGGGGGAGCTGGGTCATTGAGGCCTGAGAACACAAAATTTAATGAGGCTCTGGACCCAGTTCCCCTGAAGAAAGGTCATGTGACCAGAGATATCAGTGGGTGAAGAGGTGGGGAGAAAAGTGCCTGGGAGGGGATGAATCCCCTTCCTGCTTACATGCACAAATGAGGGCTCTCCAGGGGAAGGAGAAGAATAAGACCCACAGTCTACCATGTTTACCCTGGAGTCCACATGAAAGGCGATTCTGGTAGACTTGGGACACTGAACTTGACTGATAAGCACACTAAAAACCCCTCAGGCCTCCCGGTTCAACATGCCTTTCTTCCTCTAACATCCTGCCATCGAAAGCCCCTTACTGCCATTCTCCAAGACGTACCCAAGCAGAGCAGCTCCTCATCCAGCAAGGAGAAGGCATTGCTTGTGTTGTTGGGCCCAGGAGGAGCCTCAGCCTGGCTAGACGAACGGCTCCGTGAAGGTCCCGAGGTCTGGGGGGGTGGAGGGAGGATAGGGATGCCTGAGGAGGGTGGGGTGGGTGTTGGGGCCAACACTGGGGGTGAACTGTTGGGTGTGTCCAACTCAGCAAGGTCGATGAGAGTGCCGTGGCTACTGGACTGGTGGTTTCCTGGATGGGTCAACAGAAGGGGAACGAGAAAAATCAGGGGCCGTTCTAGTGGTTGTGCAGCAGGAGGCAGGAGGGACCCTGGGCACGAGAGCTAATGCTCTAGTCTCTGGCATAATTCGATGGCCTTTCTTCCAGGGCACCCTGAAAAGCAAGCTGGAGAAGGCAGGCAGGCAAACAAATCCCTGTCCATAGCTCCTGGTCTCTGAGAGGCAGGAGAACCATTTGGGATGGTTCAGCATCCCCTCGGGCTCTTTGGGTCGCCATGGTGTTACACCTGCACATGTAGCTGTGTGGTAGGCAGGAGGGGTGGGGTAGGGCGGGGCTGGAGGGCCCCAGAATGGGGACCAGGACATTTTACCTTCAGAGTCAGGCATGGTTGAGGTGGTCACCTCACCGTTGATGACTTGCCCTTCAATAATTGCTTTGTAAGAGTTGATGATCCGGGAGAGGTTGTCACTGGCCTGCAGGATGTCCCCTAGAGTGAAAGAGAGACTCCTCACTCCTGGCTGTGACAGCTCCCACAAACATATCCAAATTGCTGGTTCATCCTTGCCAACTACTCTTTCCTTTTCACTCACCCAAACTATTGTCATTGTCTTCTGTCTCGCTGGCTAGTTTAAATAATGTCCGTCTCTTGTTCTCACACCGATCATACAGCTCCTGAGAGAGACCCAGACATAAAAATCACAACTATAGCCAGGCTCCAGTGGCTAATGCCTATAATCCTAGCCACTTGAGAGGCAGAGATCAGGAGGATCAAGGTTTGAGGTCATTCTGGTCAAAATAGTTCTTGAGACCCTATCTCAAAAATATCCAACACAAAAAAGGGCTGGGGGAGTGGCCCAAGTGGTAAGTAGGGTACCTGCCTAGCAAGTGTGAGGCCCTGAGTTCAAACCCCAGTACTACAAAAAAAAAAAAAAAAAAAAAAAAATCACAATTAGAGGTGCTCAGAAATCATCTGATTCAGTGATGACACCCTGAAAGTAATAGAAGTAATGGGCTCTCCTAAGTGCCATGGACAGTTAGTGACAGAGCTGGGACCAGAGTACACATCCTTCTGCAGCCAGCCTCTACCAAATCTGTTGCCCAAGTCATCTGCACTGATAGTAAGTCACTTAGATGGCAGATGGCAGAGGGAAAGAAAGCCCCTTCCTGGCTCCCAGGCAGGCATATGCCTCAGAACTCAGAATATCTACTCAGCCACTCTGGACCACAATATCAACACAAGTGTCCCAGAGAAGCCCTTGGTATAGATGTCCCCAAGGCAGTAAGGAAAGGCAGAAAGGAGTGAGTTCTAAAGTGCGGTCTCATCACAGATCTGGCTTCTGTATAGCTCTTCTGGGGGTGCGTTAACTAGTACTGTATAAACTGTGGACACCACAATTTACTGCTGCCATGCAGACAAACAGGCATAAACAGCAAGCATGTCCTTGACAGGACAGGTGTCTGCAGGGAGCAGAGCAGCCTCAGGCAGCTAGCTCTCAGATAACAGACCACCTACCTTCATGAGCTCTCTGTCTGCCTCTGATGAGTGCTCTTGGTTGTAGTGAAGCAGCATCTCATGGAGCAGCTTTACATTGTTATTAACCTCCTCCAATGTGTGCAGGCGCTTGGTCACCTTCTGGATGCGTGCTTCATCCTGCCATGGCCAAGAGGGTCCAGGAGAAAGCAAGCTCACCTAGCCCAGATTCCCACTTCCACCATGTGAGGCTCACTCCTCACCCCAAGGTACAGGAACAAAGGCCAAGTCCCCAAGCCCTGCTCAGTGTTTCCTGGGACCACTGGCCTCAGACCCAACCCACATGTTGTGCTTTAGTTACAGCCCTCACACCCAATCACATGTTCCCACCCTGGCTCCTTTATCCTGTCTTCCCCCACAAACTACAAGGCCTCGTCCTTCCACTCCCTCCAGGTGAGAGCTGGGGGCAGGAGGAAGGAGACAGACCTAACATACTGGGGGACTTTTGTGCTATGGTCACATGGTCCTCTCCCCACACCCAAAGAACCAGGCCTACTCACTTCCTTCACCATTGACTTGATGAGCTTGTTTGCCTCCTGAAGGTCATCTGGGTTTTTGCTTTTCAGCAGCTTGGCTAAAAGCTGGAAAAGAAGCACATCAAAGATAAAGGGAGGGGGTCCCCCACCCACCTGGGGGACCACAGAAAAACTGAAGCTCCCCACAGAACCGAGCAAAGCCCTGTTTCCCTGCTGCTGCTAACCACTCATTTGAGAGAACCACAGGCCCAGGAAGTACTTCACCTTGGACTTCTCCTCATCATCAAAAACGGGATTTTTGGGACGAGGTGGTGGAGAGGGTATCAGTGTTCTGTCCATGGGGATCGGAGGGTCAGACTGCACTATGCCTGACGGGACACAAATGGCAGAGCATGTGCTTAGGCTGTGGTCTCCTTGTTCCCCCTCCTCACATACCAAAAACCAAATTACTGTGATCAAGACTTGTAAAGGGGATAGAAGAAAGGCTACTCACACCTCAACCCACTAAATCCCAGTGAGTATCTGCCCTGGTGACAAATTTTACTATCTTCAGGAGACAGTAAGTCTAGGGACCCTCAACATACCCATCTCTTCCTTGCCTTGGCCTGCCTTCACAGCAACACTGAGGGTGAGGGAAGATGGACACATACCCTGTCTCTTCAACATGTGGTAGGCATCTTTTATCTTTGCTTCCTCTGGCAGGGCCACCGTCCAGCTATAAAGCAGCTCGATGACCTTGATCTTCACCTTCTCGGACACCCTGTCTCCCAGGTACTAGGAGGCAAAGGAAAGTGAGAGAGCCTAGTAACTACAGTCCAGAGGCACAGAAAGTGCCAGGCTCTGTTCGCAGCAGTGAGATGCTTGCTGTTACACTCCTAAACCTACTCAAACCCAGCAGATGTTAAGGTGTGTTAGAGAATAGGGGAAGAGAAGAAACTTCTTGTGTCCAGGGGGATACAACCTGCACTTCTATATACAAGCTGCCCGACAACAATTGGGATAGAACTCAGGGTCTTGAGCCTGCTAGGCAAACTACCGCTTGAGTCATGTCACAAGCCTTTTGGTGTTTTTTTTGAGACAGAGTCTCGCCTGCTAACTTTGCCTGGATTGGCCGCAAACTTGAGATCCTCTTGTCTCAACTTCCTGAGTTTACAAGCATGCATTTTATCTTGAAGCACATCGTGAGAACACCTCTAGTGCGAAAACTGTTCCCTCTGCCTGGAGCTAAACAGAAACTGCCAGTTGAGCAGGTGACCAATGCGGGTAGTCAGCGCCTTACAGCCAGGTAAGACAAGCCCCAAATCCACAACTACTGTATGCTAGAAGCAGAGTCCCTCTCTGCCCGCCCATATACAGCCATGCCTGTACTGCCTGCCATATTTAGAATGGGAAATGGTCAGAGGACACTGCCTAGTCCTGGCTTGGCCAGTCATCCACTACCCCAGGGACTAGCTCTCCAAGGACAGGTCACAGATGGGCAGTCTCATGGAGATGTAGGTTGAGCATAAAATGCCAGTGAAGCAGGAGATGGTGATGAACACAAAAGAAGGCCACAGAAGGGAGGAAATTATCCCCGACTGACCTTTGGAGAGACAACTTTGATTAACTCATTCAAAAACCGGAACTTGCCCACTTCATTATGAAATCTCCTCCCACAGTTCTTCATACATGCTTCCAACACCTGTTGCCACAGAGAAGAGGCACTCAGTGACGGCAGCTCTGGGCTCTGGCACCAGTGAGACCCCCGAGATCCACACAGTACCAAGGAAGTACTCCCGTGAAGGAGCTCATCCTCGTGCTCCATCCCAGGGAATAGAAGTTAAGCCACGGGATCACTTACCATATAGCCCTCAAATGGCACACCTCTGCAGGGTATGCTACAGGAGCTACAGCAAGAAATGCTGAGATCCAGCCACCAAGATGGCCTGAATGGCAGACCCAGAAGGTCCCTTTGTCAAAGTCGCCGTGCTTGTATTTTGCAGCTGAGGAAGAGTGACATCCAGGGCCACAGTCCTTCCCACAAGCTGGCCCAACATGTTTTGCAGGGTAGGAGATCAAGTTTAAATTGTGTTCTCTCCACATTAGGTGACAGGACATTTTTTCCCTCCCCTGTCCTCCACTTACGCATTACAGTGCTGTCCACAGCCCCTAGTCCTTTTGCAGCTTACAAAGGGCCACACACCATGGGGCTCCCTTTCTGATGCTTAATAGTACTTCTGGCCTCTATCTATCCCCTAGATGCTAACAGCAACATTCCACCCTCACCCTGCACACACACAACTGTCTTCAAACATTGCCAAATGTCCCCTAGGAGACAAAACTGCCCCCCCTCGAGAATCAGTTTTAAGCTCCTTGCTCTACAGAGGGGTGCATGGGGCCACTGCACACAATTTCTTCCCTTCTAGTTCTCTAAGACCCGAATGAAGTCAGGCTCAGGGAGGACCCTGGATTCTGCTGAACTCAGCTTTTCTCTGGTTTGGGGGAGCCAAAAGGCACCTTTTGGGTTTTTTTTTTAAATTTTTAAAAATTATATTATTATTGTACTGGGGGGTACATTGTGACATTTACAAAATATATCTTACCTAAATTCTTCCCCTCCATTATTCTCCTCCAGCACTTCATATTTTGAACTTCCTTAGTGGGTTATTTATTTTATTTTACTATTTATTTATTTATTTATTTATTTATTTTGAGGTACTGGGGGATTGAACCCAGGGCCTCACACGATAGGCTAGTGCTCTACCACTTGAGCCAGGCCCCCAGTGCTATATAGTTGTGGGTGTTGAACTTCCTTAACTTGTATAAACATTGAGCTCTGTCCCTAGGACCATGGCTATTAGGGTGGCCCTTCAATAGTCTGGCATTATTTTTAGCTACAGAGTGAACTGTACTCACCTCAGCTGGATGACTCTTCAGTGGCAAGATTTCCAGAAGCCTCTCTGAGCCCCACACTAAGCTCAAGGCCCTGCCTCTGGGCTCCCCAGCCTGGAGGCACTAACCATGTGGTACTTGCACTATGTGGCTGGGCAGGTAGGGATGACACCTCAGTTATCTTAGAGGCCTCAGGGTCTAGCCCAGGAGCAACCACTCTTGTGAACCAGCTGAATGGACATTTTTAAGATACCTAGTGTATATTGAGGACATTCTCCTGGCCTTTGGGCACAAGCCCTAAGAACACTGAGGGGCCAATGGGTAAACAAGGAAAGGCTTGGGCAGGCTAAGATCTGCTGCTGTTATCTTCAAGAGTGAAGACCTACCGTCAGGGCCTGCACTGCCTCCCATTCCTGTGGAGACTGGATCTTATGGGCCAGCAGTCGAACAGCAATCTGGGGCCTGAGAGACAAGCAGACTACAGTCAGTGCATTAATGTGGGCCACCTGGCCAGCCCTCCTGGTCAGTTTTTGGCTTTTCCACACTTTCTCTTACTTGCCCCCTAACAGCATCTAGACTCACCCTTCAAGCTCTTTGTTGATCTGATCACAGAAGCCAATTATGTATTCCCAGTCCTCCTGGCGGTTCGAAGGATTGGTGGCTTTATCTTGGGACAGAACAGAAAAGAAGGCAACTGTTATGACGAGCAAGGAGAACAAAAGCTTTTCTTCACAATTTTGAGGCATCAAAAGTTTGCTTCCAAACTTTTTGACTTATAGAGAAGCCTCCATAGTTCAGTCAGGCAGCAAACACAAATTCTGCTTTCTGGCCAATATTTTAGAAGATAGAAATGAAAGAAAAATCCTCAGCCTCATGGAGCTTAGAGTAGATCAGGATCCAAAGGATAAACACAAACTCAAATGGTTAAAATACTCATAAATACCTTTAAAAAATATGCAAATCTAACAAATCCATGTAACTCTTGTTACATAAAAATGAACTGGGGGGGGGCTGGTGGAGTAGCTCAAGTGGTAGAGCGCCTGTCTAGCAAGTGTGAGGTCCTGAGTTCAAACCCCAGTAATACACACACACAAATCAAGAAAAATAAGCTGGGGGAGTCATTACTCCCATTTCCTGCATGGGGAGCAGGAAATGTTTCTCCTTTTTTTCCCCATTTCTCCTTTAATCCTGTTGTACTATATGCTGGGCACCAGTGGCTCACGCCTGCAACCCTAGATGCCCAAAAGGTAGAGATCAGGATGACTGCGGTTCAAAGCCAGTACTGCAAATAGTTGGAGAGACCCTATCTTGTAAAAACCATCATAAAAAAGGGCTAGTGGAGTGACTTAAGGTGTAGGCCCTGAGTTCCAAAAATCTCAGCACCCAAACCAAAAAAACACCAAGAAGTGTTTCCTGGAGAAACTGAAGTCAGGTTAGTAAAAATACATACACTAAGAACATATAAGTATTTTCTATAGAGCCTTCAAGAACATCAAGACCTAATCTTTCTTAATGCTTTAAACATTCTTGAAGTTGCATACAATATTCACCACTGTAAAACCAACACTTACTAAGCATCAGTCATTGTGCATTCTATCCCTGGGACCACTCCAACACAATCTTGATCAGAGTATTCCGTACCCTCAGGTTTACATGGTCTTCCATGATCAAGCACAAAGACACCTGTTGGAGAGTTCTGAGGGTTTAAAAACCTGGCACTAATTGCAAAATTTGGTAATATTTATGTTGGGTCCTCTTCCCTGTTATCCCCAGCACCTGTTCTTTTTGTTTGTTTTTTTGTTGTTGTGCAAGGGGTACATTGTGACATTTACAAAAATTCTTACAATATATCATAGTTGAATTCACCGCCAGAACCTCAGCCCAGCTGAGGGTAGTTAAGCCTGATTCAGACCTGAGTCTGCCTCTTCCAGAAAGCACCCTCAAGCTGTTTGCTAAATTTAGGGCTTCAGGCCCTCTTAAAACACTCATGTTCTTCCAAAAGTGTCAGCCCTCCCAAGGAATGCTGTTAGAATTTCCTGAATTCTGATTTCTCGTGACTGTGGGCGATTTCTCTTTTTTCCTTCCTTTTTTCCCAGAATGGAAAGGTTTATTCATATAATGAAAATTCATAGCTATTTCAAGCAAAGAGGTGGTCTCACACATATTTTTACAAATGAATCTTAAGAATATAATGTTGACTATAAAAAGCAAATGTCAGCTGAGCACTGGGGGCTCATGTTTTAGCTACTTAGGAAACTGAAATCAGGAGGACTGCTGTTCAAGGCCAGCCTAGGCAAATACTTTGTGAGATTCCCATGTCCAAAATGAAGCAGAGTAAAATGGATTGCAGGTATGGCTCAAGCAGTTGCGTGCCTGCTTTGCAAGCCTGAAGCCTTGAATTCAAACCCCACTGCCACAAAAAAAAAAAAAAATTGTGTGGTGGCACATGCCTGTAATCCCAACTCTCAGAAGACTGAAATAGGAGGATCCCAACTTTGAGTTGAGCCCATGCAAAGTTAGCAAGATCCCACCTCAAAACCAAAATACAAACTGAAGGTCTGGAAGTGTGACTCAAGTGGTAGAATGCTCCACTGGGAACAGGGCTGTGGGGCTCTGAGCAGAAGCCTCCCCAGGTTGGGGCTAGGCCTGCCTGCTAGCAATTCTATTTTGGCTAAAAAGGGGGAGATTCTGGTAGTTAAAAGTTTGTTTTTGGAGGAAAAGAAGATAAAGTTCCCAATCCCGAAAGGGAATTATCAGGACTTTCAAAATGTCAAACTTGAAGGGAAGAAATTAACCAAGGGTAGAAAGAAATAGTTGGCAATTCTGCACTAATTGTCACAGCCACCGTCCCAAGAAATCCGATTCTCTCTCACCAGTTGTCCAAAATCTCAGATGTTGGCATGGTTTTGCTACTAATCCCTATCATTCGAGATGCTTCAAGTTTTCACATGACACCAAGAAGCTGCAGGACTTAAAAACAAGACACTTTGAGGAGCCATATCCACTCTCCAATGTGAAGAGTGACAAACACCTCATGATCAAACAAAGAGTAGACCACTCGCTTGTTCACACTGTTCACAATGGAAAACTGTCTTCCAAACAGGGTAAAATGTGGACTTCCCCTGTCCCTCAAACAGTGGGCAGGCAGGCCTCCAGGGCCTTTGTGGCAGAGTTCGAGTGATGCTGCTCTTCTACCCAGGCTGGGAGGAGGGACAGCGCTGCCACTGCTTCGCCTGCAACACTTGTCCCTACGTGCACATCACCCGCAAGGTAACAAACCGGAAGTATCCAAAGCTGAAAGAAGTGGATGATGTGCTTGGGGGAGCAGCTGCTTGGAAGAATATTGACTCTACTGCAGAGCTGTGTCCCAAATGCGAACATCCTTGTGCTTACTTCATGCAGCTTCAGACCTGCTCTGCAGATGAACCCATGACCACTTTCTACAAGTGCTGCAATGCTCAGTGTGGACACCGCTGGAGGGACTAGAGCTGGTTCAGCTGCTACAGTGTCTCCTTATCTTGTCCCCAAGGGGATTTTCAGTAGGGATTGTGTGTCCAGAGGGTCTTTGCTGTTGTAGTGGGAAGCTAACCTTTTTGAGGACGGAAGGCCAAGATGTCAGAAAATATAGTCCATCTGCTAGTCTATGACTGAAGTCATTAATGTCCAGGGAGTTTGTGTGCATGGGAGGAGTGCCATAAGGAAGTGCATTTGGTTTAAGTTTTGTGCATTCATTGCTTACTTATTGGTCAGTTGACACTTCCTGACCATTATGCAGCCCTCTGCAATGTCTGTACAACTTAGTACATTAAATGTATGATGTTTAACTGCTATGTAAGCTTACTTAATTTATTCTGAATATTTCATAAAAATGAAGTGATACTGTCAAAAAAAAAAAAAAAAAACAGTGGGCAATCAGCAAATCCATTCTTCCCAGGCCTATTCCCCTACTGGGGATCACAGGGAGCACCCTGCCTGCACATGGCATGAAAAGCCCTAGTCAGCACTACTTCCCAGTGTGTGCTGCAGCCCTCCTGCAGCTCAGAAGGCACACTTGTCACCAAAGGGAGCTGGGAGAAACCCCTGGGGATGATGCTGGGGGTGACTCCAGTTCTCCACCTGCCCACTGCTCCCCCAGCAGAGGCACTCATCCTTCTACCCACTCACCATTTCCTTCACCTGGCACAAAGGCAGGACATCTCCCTGCACACCCTACCTTCTACAACCACCCCTCAGGGCCCTGCTCTGACTCATGGTTTCTATTTTTGGGTCTCTGGTGAAAGCCTCATTCTCTGTTTCTGTGCCTCTAGATTTCCTGCTCTAATTTTTTTTTTTTTCAGGTTAATTCTATCACTAGCCTTGACTCTCATGGGTCCTCAAAAATGTCAGGTAGGGATGAAAACAGTAGCACTGACCCCATCTTGACATGGCTTGACATTCCACGAAATAAACAGAAGAGCATGGGCTGGAAAGGGTTCAAGGTCATCCTGCAGTGCTGGGTCTTGAACCAAAAGAGAAACTTAGTTGCTATGTTTCTCTTAGACACCAACAGAAAATGAATGAACAGCCTGCTAGACCTAGAGGGACTACAGATGAAGTATAAGAAACAGACTTATCCTTGACAAAGTTCTATCTTTCAGGTTCAACATGTGAGAAAAAATACTCAGTGCATAAAACAAGACAGTATATAACTATAAATACTAATCTGGTACAGAAACGAGTCTGAAAACAAACTCTGTGTGTGTGTGTGTGTGTGGCACTGGGTTTGAACTCAGGGCCTCCCATGTATGAAGCAGGTGCTCTACCACTTGACCCATGCCCCAGGCCCTTTCTGCTTCTGATTATTTTTGAGCTAGAGTCCTCTGTTTATGCCAGAGCTGCCCACAGTAGCTAGCAAGACAGATGCACTCCACCATGCTCAGCTTTTATTGAGATGAGGGACTCACTGTTTGCCCAAGGTGGCCTCAAACCTCAATCCACCTAATTTCCACCTCCTGAGTAGCTGGATTACAGGTGTCGAGTCACCATGCCAGGCCTCGCAATGTCTTTTAAAATCTCTCCCTTTCTTGAGCTGGGCGCTTGTGGTATAATCCTAGCTACTCAGGAGGCAGAGATCAGGAGGATCTGGTTCGAAGCCAGCCCAGGCAAATAGTTCTGCGAGACCCTATCTCAGAAAAACCCTTCAAAAAAATAGGGCTGGTGGAGTGGCTCAAGGTGAAGGTCCTGAGTTCAAGCCCCAGTAGACATACACATACACACATACATACACACACACACACACAATCTCTTCCTTTGTTGTCCGTCTGTACCTCCTTCCTTCTATCCTAACCCATTCTATTTAAAGTCCCTATATCAATTCTCCTAAAATACTGATTTCATTGGGGACAGAAGGGATGGGGACTTGATAACTGTAAAAAATTTAACCTTTTTGGGCTGGAATTCTCACTCTTCCAGAATTTGGTCCTAACTTTATAGCTTTATCTTCTACCATATCCTTAGAGCAGCTTAGTGATGGGCCAGCCAGACACCTCAGTTACTATGTGCCCCAATGTAGTAATGATTCCCTCCGAACATCACCATCCAGTGTTTTCTTAGCCAATTTTTCCCTTTCTTTTTTTGTGGCACTTGGGTTTGAACTCAGGTCCTCAGGCTTGGCAGGCACTGTACCACATGAGCCAATTTTTCCCATTCTTTACAGTCTACCTTGAATGCTGCCTCCTTACTGGATCATTCTCCATACCCCCAACCCCAGTTCCCTAAAGAAACTATCTGCACTTTAGCACTTATGGTTCCTGCTCTGCATCTTTATCTTTTCATTTCTTTTTTTGTTTATTTGGTTTTTGGTGGGGCTTAGGTATGAACTCAGGACTTCCTCACTCTATTGCTTGAGCCATGCCTCCATCTTTTCATTTCTTTATCCGTCACACCATCAAACTGAAGGCAAACACTGTATTTCCTGTGGCATTTTGCCTTTTCCCCCTTCTTCCAGTGGTGGGATCCAACCCAGGGCCTTGTACATACTAAGAGTGTTCTGCCACTGAGCTACACCCCCAGCACCTACTTGAATTTCCTGACTCTCATAACACCTCACATAGTAGGACAATGGTTGCTTGTGGCAGAACTTAGAGAAGGTTGAGGTCATCAGCAGATGGTTTGTGGGGATGTGGACACTGAGTTGGGTTCTGAAGCATTTTGACAAGCAAGCAGAGAGCAAGGCTTCCCAGTTAAGGAGAGCAATGTGCATAACTGGGCAGGGAACACCAGACTGTCCAAAGTAGGGAAAGGCATCAGAAGGTCACACTGACAAAGACAGGAAATGACCAGGGACAGATTACAGAAGGCAGTAGGTTTGCCAGTAATGGAATGACTTGATTAATAGAACTGGTCTGGGAGTAGAACACAGCCGAGCGGCAGTAGCTCAAACCTATAACCCCATCTACTCAGAAGACAGAGATTAGGAGATTGAGGTTCGAAGCCAGGCTCAGGAAAATACTGTGTAGACCCTATCTTGAAAATACTCAACACAAAAAAGAGCTAGCAGAGTAGCTCAAGTGGTAGAGTGCCTGCCTAGCAAATGTGAGGCCCTGAGTCTAAACCCCAGAACTACCAAAAAAAAAAAAGAATGCAGAATGGACTACAGAAAGGAAAGGAGGGACCTGAGCCAGAGTCAAAGGGAGGCTGCTACAGTAACTCAGGCAAACAAACCATGGGGTGGCAAGGAGTTTCACTAAGATGCTGCTGACCCTAAGCACTGTTTTGCTGGATTGGTACAAGACTGGTGATACAGTCATAAGATCTATGAAGGTGAGCAGAGGATAAACACGGAAGAATTATTATTATTATTTTGGTGGCAACTGGCTTTGAACTACAGACCACAAACTTACTAGGCAGGTGCTCTACCACTTGAGACCCCCACCCCACCCCAAGACAAGCATGCAAAAAATCTTAACACTGCCACAAATGAAATTAATGGGAAAAGTTAAAGGGCCAGGTTCAGCTCTAGTCTCCACAGATGCCATCCCCTTCCCTGCATCATCTCCAAATACTGCTAAATCAAACCTATTGAACTTAGGTCACTTAAACTGCTCCAATATCCCCATTAGTATATGTGACTAGAACTAATTCCACTATAGTTACAGCCAACTGGGTAGTTCTAGGTAAGTCGTTCGATTGGAATAAGGGTGTTATCTTTTCAGAAGCTGTGGCAGCAGACCCTGCTTTGCTAGACAGTTTGTGCTCCTTAGAGAACAGTTCTTTAAATACAGAAGGCTTTGAGACCTGCAGCAGAGTAATCTTATTATTCCTCCCTTTTGGGATGTGTTCCCCTTAAAGTCTAGGTTCAACCTCCTGAACAGGGTTTAAGAAAGGTCAGGCAAATTGGGGCAATGGCTGTCACTTTCAAGAGGTCCCAGCACAAGGGTGTCCAGCTATCTTACCTGACTCACCATCTGCCAGTTTCTATCCTCACTTAAAGAGGCGTTTAGGGCAAAGAAGAAAGTTCACTTACTAACTTCACTTAAGGGTTAATAAGTTTCCTGGTTATCCCTTATTAATCACGTTAACTGGCTGCTAGCAAGGCTAGCCCCTTTTCCTTCCGAGCAATGTGAATTACCAATTACGGTAATACACCTCTACAGTTACAGCTTCACATTGCTCCTCTGCTTTCTCAGAGTGGGGTAATCGTTTTAGGATGACCAAGTGAGTGTGTGTGTGCGGGGGGGGGTGGGGGGGGAGGTCCCAAACATCAATTTTAAAAACCATGGAGAGCTCTATTCTCCACCGTCACTGTCTTTGGAAAATTACTCTCACTACAAGTATTACGCCCGAGCATGGTCACAATTCAGCTAATTCCGAAGCTGCCAAGATCCGGAGCTTTTTCCTTCCTCAGGGATTGGGGCACAGAGGTCCCGGAGTCAGGAGCAGCTCCACCACAATGTCCCGAAAGCGCCGAAGACTGACAGCCCAAAGAACGTGACTGTCGCTTTCCCAGGGCCTGCGGGACCTCGAGCTGCCCCCACCGCGCGCGGCAGCGGCAGGACGCACCGCAGGGAAGGGCCCCTGGCTCGCGAAGGGGCGTGATCGCGGGATGCTCGCAAGCAGCGGCGATCCCAGGCGCGGGCTTCCAGGTGGCACCACCGCGGAGCCTGGGAAGGGGACGTCGGGATGAGGAGAGGGCGGCTCGGCGTCTCGAGGGCAGGCAGAAGCGGCTAGGGCTACTCACTCAGCCAGGACTCCAAGCTCTCCCCTTCCGCCTCCGCCATATTGCAGCCTCCCGGGCCAGCCCCGCACCCTCAAACCTCGCGAGATTCTGCACGAGCTGGGCCAGGGCGGAGCCTGCATAGGGGCCTAAGAGGAGCGATCGCTGCCGCCGAGTCTCGCCAGACTGCGACGTATATTGGGAGTGAAAATGTTTTCTTTTGGCTCTTCCTTTTGGGCGCCGGAATGAGAGACTTTAACGCCCAAATTAATGGGGTGGAATGCAGATTTAGGACCCTGCGAAGTCTTTAACTCGTATCCGTCCACTCGCTCAGGCGCCCCGAGGGCAGTCCTAGTGGGGTCCTCGTAGCCGGCCAAGATGGCTGCCCCCGCACTGACGGCTGTGCGAGGATGGTCGGGCCTGGCTCTTCAAGTGGACCGTGCCGCCTGGCGACTTCCAGGGTGAGAGGGTTGCGGGCAACTGGGAATGCCCCTTAGGTTTTCACGGAAGGCTCTGCAAGGAAGGAAAGGAGTCAGAGGAAGGGCCCTGGAAAAAGAGCACTGCTCCGGGGGTCGAGATAGTTGAATTTGAGTCTCTAAATTAGCAGCATGACCTTGGGCCAGTCTGAAGGTTTAGTGAATGCCGTTTTCCTGAGGGGTCGGGTTGATCTAGGGTTCCCCTCGGAGCTGAATGCGCTAAAGAGCTCAGAGCCGAATCCTCCCACCTGGGAGTGGGAGGTCGGGGGAAGAGATCCCCTGTTCGTTAGCCGATCCTTACCCTTCACGCTTGAGAAGGAGAAGGTTCTTCTACCTCTTAGGACAAGAGCCAGAATGACTGCGGTTCAGGTTTAGCTTGCGGTCCTGGCGCCGCTCTCCCTCGTCAGTGGGTTGGCAAACGTGCCTATTGTTAAGTCAAGCGCATTCATTTGTGGAGTCAGCTTTTGTCCGCCTCCTGCCCTCCCCCCAACCAGGCTAACCCAGGTGAGATGGAGCCGTTACGGTCCTGAATTCCGGGATCCCCTAATTGACAAAGAACATTACCGCAAGGCTCTCACCAAGGAGGAAAAATATGAGCAGGAGCTCAAGAAAACTCAGCTCGTCAAAGCTGCCCCAGCGTCGCAAACAAGTTCTGTGTTTGCAGACCCGGTGATCAGGTTAGATGGAAACTCATGTTTCATGGACTGGAATTATCCAGGGACTGTGTATGGTAAGAACTACATGATACAGCCTTGAAAAGCTAAACATGTTGTTTTTCTCTTTGAAGTAAATTCACCAACATGATGATGAAAGGAGGAAACAAAGTACTGGCCAGATCCCTCATGATCCAGGTAAACATTTCCTCACTCCTCTTGTCTTTCTTTTTTTCTCTAGCTTTGGACTGTGCCTGGTTCCTTGTCTTAGCTTAAAAACTAGAAAATGGAGCCAGGTGCAGTGGCACTGCTATCTGTTTGAAAGGCAGAGGCAGGAAGATTGTGAGTTTGAGGCAAAGTTAAAAAGACCCTGTCTCAAAAAAACAAGTGGTAGAGTTCAAACCTAGCAAGCTCAAGGCCCTGGATTCCATCCAGCACCAAAAAAAAATTGATTAAAAAATTAGAGAATGGATTCATATACCTGTCATTAAAATTAACTTCCCTGTATGTGTGGAGATGGAGGGTGAGGGTTGTTTGCCATTCTCCCCACATCAGTTAGCCCACTCTGTCCTATCCTAGCAAAGTGGGAGGTGCTTAGGAACTTTGTGATGGATGTGCCCAGGGAGAACCTGTCCTGCCACAGATGATGGGGATAAAAGGCTAAGTACTGGCTGAGCTGGTATAAACTCTTCAGGGTTCCTGAGAAGCCTCTTCTGTTTTCTCCCTTTGCAGACTCTGGAAGCTCTGAAAAGGAAGCAGTTTGAGAAGTACCATGCTGCTACCACAGAAGAACAGGCAACTATTGAACGCAACCCCTACACCATCTTCCACCAGGCACTGAAAAACTGTGAGCCTGTGATTGGGCTGGTACCCATCCTTAGAGGTGGACACTTCTACCAGGTGAATGACTGGGCAAGAAAGCAGGGTAGTTGGGTGCAGGTGGCTCACACCTGTAATCCTAGCAACTGGAAGGGCAGAGATGGGAAAGATCGAGATTTGAAGCCAGTTCAGGGAAATAGTTCACCAGACTGGATCTCAAAAATACGCAACACTAAAAAGGGCTGGTGGAGTGCCTGCCTAGCTAGTGTGAGGACCTGAGTTCAAACTGCCAAGAAAAACCAAAACAAAACAGGGCTGCCCACATATGAAATAAGACATCAGGATGAGAGCCCACAGTTAGGACAAGATTGATGGTTCTCTAGACTGGGAATTGTCAAGATCTGCTCATCTGGCCAGGCACTGGTGGCTCAAGCCTGTAATCATAGCTACTCAGGAGGATCATAGTTGAAAGCCAATCTGGGCAAATAGTTCAGCAGACTCTATCTTGAAAAAAACCCATCGCAAAAAAGGGTTGGAGTTGCTCAAGGTGTGGGCTTGAGTTCAAACCCCAATACCGAAAAAAAAAGTAAAAAACACTCACCTGAATCCTATAAAGATGAAAGCAGAAGATAGGAAGAGAGCAAAGAAATAGCTAAATGACATCTTCTGGGAGCCCACCCCCTCCCATTCTGTCCAGTATCCTGCATGCGTACACTTCTCAAGGTGAAGGGTTCTTTATACCCCATCTTTATATGCCACTGTCTAGCATGGCATATTCATAGCTGGCAATTCATTACTGCTTGTTGAACTGAACAAGGCATCTATCATAGCATTTGTCTTTCATTGTCATTAGCACATTTTCTTATCTTTTCAATATAAACTGTGGAAGAGCAGGGACTTTCTCATTGCATCTTTTTAGTGTCTGGCACGACACCTAGCACACAGTAAAGACTAGAAAATGGTTCTTATACAGAGGGTCATGTTCTTAGGCATCTTTGGTCTGAGGTAGCTAAGTCGTCCGAGCTAATGCTGTTTGAAATTGGTGCTTGTATCAACTTGGCAAAATGTCCATTTAGGTGCTTAATGAGTAATTTGCTGAGTGAAACCCCTTCTGCTATATTGAGGTCACCAAGGGAAGGTCAAAGAGACACCTCCCTTTCCTCAGCTTTACTGGGGCTGTCTAGAGGGAATGAATGGCCACTCCTTAGAACTCCGGGAAACAGGAGGCCCTGGCCTGGCGGGCCTTTGGACCAACTCACCTATGTCCTGTCTCCTTACCAGGTCCCTGTGCCCCTAGCCGACCGCCGCCGCCGGTTTCTGGCTATGAAGTGGATGATCACTGAGTGCAGAGAGCATAAGCACCGGCGGACAATGATGCCAGAGAAGCTTTCACATGAGCTGTTGGAGGCTTTTCAGAACCAGGGCCCAGTGATCAAGAAGAAGCACGACATGCACAAGATGGCTGAGGCCAATCGTGCCCTGGCCCACTACCGCTGGTGGTAGAGGGAGATGAGAGACTGTGGGAGGGACGGGGGCACGGCTGCAGGAAGCCACATGAGCCACTGCCCTGTTGAAAAGTAACTGTGAGTTAAGGATGACTGACTTTCCTTTTTAAGCAGATGGAGCAGCGTGACTGTTGCCCATTACTCCGGTGCTCGAACTGGTTTCCCTGTTCCATCACCTTATAGAGAGGGAACATACCCACTTGGGGATTGACTCCAAGAAACTCAGACTGAGTCTTCTCTTCCCTCAGCTAGGGGTAGACCTTTAGATGCTATGAAAGGAAGCAGTATCAGTATGAGAAAAAGATTTATTAGAAAATCCTCACCCTGACCTTGTGAAGAATGTGATGCTGAGCTATGGTTTATCACAACTGACTGGAGGTTTATCTCCACAGCTGTCCCTGTGCAAAGTGTTTAAAATGCAATTTCTCTTGTGCCTTGTGCTCTGCCTCTGCCCTCTGACATGCCAAAGCATCCCACCAGTGGCTGTTGTTACCCATTTTACAGATGGGAAAACTGAGGCACCAAAGCAGTGTTGTGCCAATAGTTACTCGGTCCAGTGGTTGTTAAGAGTTGGCCCAGGTGGAAGGTGATAGGAGAAAGAAACAGAGGGGTAGTCTTAAACCAGGAAGAGCACGTCTGTTTCGTGTCTCCAACTCCTGAGGAGGGGAAGGGAATAGGGCAGGACCACATGTAAGTGAGAAGTCTAGAAGGGACTTGAGAGAGGCAAGGACTTTGTTATGGGCTTGGGTGGAAGGTTGCGGAAGGGTTGGTGCTGCAGTTGCAGTTTCTAGTCGGAAACTTCGCTGTAGTAGTACTTGTGGGCAGCGGGGGTGGTCTTCCAGCCGGCCGCCCGGAACTCAATGATCTCCAGCAGGAGCAACTGGGCCAGGGAGCTGAGGCCTGTGAGAAGCAGGAAGCCATCCCGAATCAGGACAAAGAGCTCATCCATGCGCTGCCCATTCATCTTCTCCAGCTGCTCCCCGACCCGGTGCAGCTGCAGCACCAAGCAGTCCACCTACAGAGGCAATGGGGAGGCCCCTGGTCAGCTCCAGGCAGGTCCATCCCAGCACACAAGAGTAACAGCCTGCCAGTAGCTCATTCCTGTAATCCTAGCTATTTGGGAGGATCAGAATTTGAGGACAGTCCGGGCAAATAATTTATGAGACCCCACGTCTGAAATAACCAGAGCAAAATGGACCAGAGGGGTGGCTTAAGCCGTACGTGCCTGTGTGAAGCCCTGAGTTCAAACCCCAGTCCCACCAGAAAAAAGAAAAAAAAAAAAGGAAACAAGTTCATGGACTTGCCTAGAACATCTGGGCAGGCTAGACTCAGGCTTGTCTCCAAACTGTTGCTTACCCCCATGCTTCCATCTGCCCTTCACTGTCTGACCCAGGTTTAGTTTCTGGGCCATCTGTGCCGACGGCTGGCCATGGCTCTCACCATTCCTATCATAGCTTGGCTTTCCTACTGGGAAGGAAGCTGCTGAGCTAGTGCGGTTGAGCTGTGCACTGTCCTGGATAAATTCCAGACCCAGCAGCTCGTCTTGTAACTGCTACAATCCTTAAATGCTTCCCCACCAGGCTCCTGCTCAGAAATTAAGCCTTCCTAGTCCTCCACAAATGGGGGCTGGCACTGAGCTGAGTGAAACAGGACTGCTTATCTCCACAGCCTTCTGAAATGCCCCGGGCCACTCACCTCCTCCTCCTTGCTCAGACTGTCAGGCTGGGCCAGCCGAAAGAGGCAGTCATACACAGGGTTCACCAGGGCCATCATAGGCATGTTGTTTACCTGTGGGGAGGAGGGAAGGGCCCGGGCAGTGGCATTAGTGGTCCTGGGGAGCCATCCAGTCTGGGCCTTGGGAGACAGGCCATCTGTGCCTCACCCTCAGGTAGTCGAAGATGTTGCAGATAAAAGTGACATAGCAGACCCAGCCCTGCAGGGAGCACTCCCGCAACCGCTCCCGGGTCTGGTACTCCTGCTGCAGCCGGTTGAGGAGTCCTCGCCGGAAGACACTCTGGCCTGTTTGTTTACTCTCTGCCTGTGAGTCAAGGGGAGAGGGTGGTGAGGGCTGAAGGGGCAGTGCTGCGGCTACCCCACCCATCCTGGCCTCTTCCTGTCCTTGGACTGAAGCCTGTGCCCACTTCTGAGGCACCTTCCTCAAATCTCCCTTTCCTCTACCAACCCCCAACCTGGATGATGGCGTAGCACATGCGGCCTGCTTCCTTGCTGAACACACAGTCCTGCAGAGAATGGTCCACAATCACATTGGCCGCTTTCTCCAAGTCCACTGCACCTGGATCTGGGGTAAAGACAGGAGGGAAGCTAGAGCTGCCTGTTACCCCATTTCCTTCACCTGCTTCGAAGGATTCATGATGTTTATGGTAGAGCGTTCTTGTACACTTAAAAGAGACCAAGGGGTTCAGAGTGTAGCTCAGTGGTTGAGTGCCTCACTACCACGTGTGAGACCTTGGCTTCATTCCCAACACCACAAAAATACAAAACAAAACATGAAACCTACAAAGAAGGTAGGCAGTAACCATACCTAGAAGCAGCCTTCTGGTTGCCCAGTCAGAGAAAGCAGGGAGGGTTACATGGCTGGAGGAGACCAAAGTGTAACTGTTGTTTCTTAGCATACACATCTTTTCCTGGCACTAGGTTGAGGAAAGCCCACTGCCTTGCACAGCAGTTTCGCAGAAGCCTCTGACTGGAGCAACAGTGCAGGACCTGTGCCACAGGCTGAGCTCGCCTCTTGGCCGGCATTGTCCTGAGTGCGCTGGCAGGAGGCTGGGTCTCCATCCTCTGTCCTGAGTCAGCCAGCTCTGCACATTGAGAAGTGGCTGCACAATGCAGAAAGCAAGTCCTGCAAGGGCTTAAAGGGCAGGAACTGTGTTCTCTAGAGATGGCTGTGATTCATCCTCCCAAAAGTGGCCTAAATGTTGCTCGTCTTCCAGATTGAGTTAGGAAGGATATTCTCAGAAAGGATATTGAAGAGGGCTGGGTATTTCCTGACCCTGGGTTCAGCCCTTCTGCAGCTCCTGCCCAGCCAGGAGGACTCCCGTGCTCACCTTTGAGTGCTGTCTTCAGCAGCTGCTGGGTCTCTGCGTCAAAAGACTGGATTTTATACTCCTCTCTACCGGCCTCCCCCATGACCGTCCAGCCCCAGCAGCTCTTCACTGCGCCAGGGCTAATGACAGCACCTGAGGAGAAGCGGGGGCGGAAGAGGCCTCAGGTGTGGAGGGCAGAACCCAGGCTTCCCAGTTCTGCGGGCTCTGGGTGGGGCCGGCCAGTATTTGGGGGCTGGTGGAACCGAGCCGTCCATAGCATTTGGTGTTTGGCTGAGAGCCCACCGAACTTGGCTTCTGGCCTAGACGGTACCAGTCGGGCACCTGTTGTTCAGTTTAGGAAACCCCAGGCTTCTGGGATTACAAGTGAGGACAGATGAAGGGGAAGGCACCTACCCTTCGGTCCCAGTAGAAGGCAGGTAGATTTGGGAGTGGGGACCTTAGCCGGAGGTGTGGGGAGGACGTCAGACTTGCCTATAAACCCGCCCGGAAGGTGCTGGCTCAGCTCGATTCCGGGCGAGTGACAAGACTGAGGGCTCCACGCTGTGGACCTTTATGCCAGCGGGGATCCAAGCCCCTCTCCCAACCTTCTCCAGCTTTCGCCAGAGTCCTCAATCCACAAAACCCACCCCTGCGGCCCGTCGGGCTGGGGTCGGCCCATGAACGACTGGTTAAATTAGCCTCCCGAGTGGCAGAAATCCTGTCCTTCCAACTCGAGTCCCAAAATTCCTCAGGTGCATTCGGAACCCTTCCTTTTAAAGTGGAAATAGGGACGAGGCGTCCCCGAGAGGTGGTTCCCGCCAGTCCCATCTCTGGATTCCGTGCCTCCCTGGAGTCCCCTCTCTGCACTCGGTGCGTCCCCTCTGGTTCGAGGAAACCTTGGCAGCCTCCCCAACCCCGGAACGCCTTCCCGGCGCCGCCTGGCGGGTGGGGGAGCCCGTGGTGGGTGTCCAGCGGGCGGGGGACGGCGGAAGCGCGGGAGCGCGGGGACCCACCTGCCGAGCCGGCGCCGCGCGCGCGTGCCCGGAGCCTCCCGCGGGCATGGTGCGCGCGCCGTGCCGCGGCGCTGAGCTCATCTCCCTGCGCGAGGCAGGCGGGTTCGTCAGCGCCACCTGCCGGCCCCGGACCCCACCTTCGCGGCCACCACCCGGGCCCGATTCCTCGCGTGGGGCGGAGACCCGGACGCACAGGACATCTGTGACACTGCCACCACCTCGCCAGGAGGCGCTCACCCTTCCCCTGTCCCTTCCTCACCCCGGCCCTGGCCGGGACCGCAACGGCTCGCTGACGCTGAGCCGGATCTGCTCCTCCGTCCGCCTGCAGCCCGAGCTCTGTCTCGCGCGGTGGCAGCCCCCGCCCGCCCACCCTGTCCCTCGCGGGGCTCAGGTGAACTGGGTCAGGGGAGACCTCTCCAGGCCGCGCGGCGTGGGAGGAGCCCGCGGAGGACGTGGCCCGGCCCCGATGGGAGGGGCGGGCCGATGGCCGGCGGCAGGGGCAACATCTTCACGGGTCCCACCGGATCCCCTCTCTCAAGACAGAGCGAAAAGGGGGAGCATAAGGGCTGGGTCAAACCCCACCAACTCCCTCTTCTACTTCACGACAAACGATTAGCAAAAGAAGTTTCAGGGCAAAGGGGCAGTCCGAGAGAAAGCAGCCCAGTTGGCGCCCTGTGTCCCACGAGGTGTTGGGGAGCCTCTAGGTCTTTCTTGGCGAAGAGCCAGATGACCTTTGCCGCTCCTGACCCCCCCAGTCCCTGCTACCTGACCCAGAGGACAAGTGCTGATTGGGAGCTTTGAGTGGCTAAAGGTTCCCGCCAAAGCGGTCATGGGAAGGGGGTGCCGAAGAGAACTCAGCTGCAGCACGAAACAGTGAGCAGGCGAGAGGAAGAGCACGAACTTTATTTCAATGGGACGTCATAAAAGTACATTCAAGCACCCCACAGCCCCGGCCAGGGCTGAAGAGCCGTGGGCCTCAGGGCGTCCTCTAGCGCAGCCGGAACCTTCGGAGTCAACGGCCAGCACAGGGAAGAGCACAGGAGCCAGGATTGGGCTCCGGATTAAGAGAAGAGGGCGGGGCGAGAGCCCCACACTCCAGTGCGTCGAGGCCACTCCCAGCAGTTGCTGCGTGCCAGTCCTGGCAGAGGCTCGAGCTCACATGAGCCCAAACGACTCCAGAGTAAAGGTGTGGATCCCCACGACCCCCTCTACCAGGCCCATCTCTCAGCCCAGCAGGCAGGCCGGAGGGGTGGCACTCTGCTTTGCTCTGCTCTCTTGCCCCTGTAACCCAAGTTTCTCCTCAGCACCTAGACGCACATCTGTATGGGTTCCTGGGCTCTGGTGACTCCCCTGGGTGCCAAATTGTGCCCCACCAGGCTGTCTGCCCAACCCCTTCCTTCTGCCATCTCCAACACTGGGCTGCTTCAGGGTTGCCTGCCTTCTGGGATTAAGAAGACACATTAGTGTCACGCTAAGCCAAGGAGGAACACCCTGGGCTGGCGCTGATGCCACTGACCCAGCTGTAAACTCATCCCAGCAGGGCTAATCCAGGGTCCAGTGAAAGGGCAGAGCCTGGGGGGGGAAGAAGAGCTGCAATGTTGTGCTCCTGCCCATTAGCACATGTGCTCCACTTTACTGGCATTTGCCTTCTCTGGAAGCTGGTTAGGCGTCACCCTGCAGATACTGTCCTAGGACAGACTGGACTGAGTGCTGGTGCCTATGTAGACTCAAAGGTCTGGGCCTGGTGGATTTGGCCCACCCTTCTGCCTGCCTGCTAGGTTGAGGTCTGGGCCTGGTTTGGACTCCCCTTAAACCTAGGAGCAGAGCCACACAGAGCTGCAACTTTTGGACAAAGTAGAACAACAGGAGTGTAACTCCTGAGGGAGGGCTTCCCTCATCCTCTGTGAGCAGGGATGCAGCTTGCAAGGGGAGGTGGAGGAGTAAGATGAGGAATGTGCTTTCTGCTTTAATGTCTATTAAGTAAAAACAGCCCAGTATGGGGGTCAGACTCCTGCAAAGAGCCCAGTCCCTGAGCTCTGCCCTCAAGCTGTGGCTCTTCCAGCAGATGGGGCTACAAAGTAGAGGAAGGTATCTCATTCCTTTGGGTCTGGGCTCCTCAGTGGCATCGTCCCCATGGCACACATGCGGCATCTCCTGTGTTCTTTCATAGAGAAGGTCCTTGCCTTTCTTCTGCTGGTGACCCAACCCAGTGGGTCAAGGCTGCCACCACTTGATGGTCCTTCACGCTCAGGATGACTGGCCTGCAGGGCAGACCAGGTAGCACCCCTCAATGCAACATGAGTTCAGAGGGTAAGTCTTGCTTCTTTCAGGAGGTGGCCTTCAGTGACGACCTCAGGCCCTCCTGCCCACTAAGCTAGCTGTCTTCCCTCCTTATGCAGTGGAAGAGGTTACAGAAGAACTCATACCAGAAGAACATGAAGCCTGTGGAGAGGGCGGCCTTCAGCAGGCTGGGGGACAGGCCCTTGAAGAAGCCCTGGGTGCCTTCCTCTTGCAGCACCTGCTTGGTACAATCCAGGAGGCCATTATAGCGCCGCACCTGGGGAGAGGAAGGTTATTAAAATGCACCCAGAGCATCACAGCTCCCAATAAATACATGCTGGATGAAGGAATGACTGCAAAATAGACAGCAAATAGGCCAAGCACAGTGGCTCACACCTGTAATCCTAGCCTCTCAGGAGGCGGGGATCAGGAGGATTGAGGTGTGAGGCCATCCCAGGCAAAAAGTTCAAGAGACCCCATCTTAACCAATAAAAGCAGGGTGTGGTGCTGCATGCCTGGCACGATAGCTATGTAACATAAATAGGATGGTCATGCTGGGTGCCAGCAGCTAACAATAACTCAGGAAGCAGAGATCAAGAGGATCATGGTACACGCCAGACCGGGCAAACAGTCTGTGAGACCATATCTTAAAAATATCCAACACAAAAAAAGGGGCTGGTGGAATGGCCCAAGTGGTAGAGCGCCTGCCTATCAGGCATAAAGCCCTGAATTCAAGCTCCAGTACTGCAAAAAAAAAAAAAAAA